AGATATATAATTATATATTGTATGGTTGACTTATACGAATATAAATCTTACTTTTCTTCTTTTCTGCCTAAAATCGTTTTTTTCGTTTTATTCCTTTTATGATTATTTTTCGAAGATAATACTTTAGCACAATGTTAGCACAACTTAGCACAACCTAGCACAATAAAAAAAATTTCGAAAATCAAAAAGTGGGGGGCTACCAAAAAAAACGGTTTTTTCCATTTTTCTCGCTCATTTTTCGTATTAAAAATTTATAATTCGAGCACAATGTAGCACAAACCTAGCACAAATCAGCACAACTGTCAAAATTAATAAATTCGAAAAATGGGGGGCTAACTTCATACAGGCTCGTCCCTCGCTAGCTACACATTTTTGCCATCTCTCTGGCAATACATGAATACCGCGACGATAAAACGACCGAAACCATTCATCCAACCAATTTTGCACTTCTTCGAAATTGGTCAAGTGTAGCCCAGCCAAGTCATGCGCCATCGACTGGAACAAGTGATAATCGGAAGGAGCCAGGTCTGGTGAATACGGCGGGTGCGGTAGATCCTATTTCAACGTTTTGATGCTGTTCTGGACGATGGAAGTGCGATGGCACGGAGCGTTGTCGTGCTGCAATATCACTCGTTCGTGTCTCGTGTCCCATTCTGGTCGTTTTTCGAGCAACGCATGGTTCAAATTGATCGGTTGTTGTCGTTAGCGATGCCCATTGACAGTTTCGCCCGGTTTCAGCAGCTCATAGTACACGATTCCTTTCTAGTCCCACCAAACGCAGAACATTGTCTTCTTTCCGAAGCGATTTGGCCGTGCCGTCGATGTTGATGCTTCGCCAGGTGAAAGGCACGATTTTTTGCGTTTGGGATTCTCGAAATATATCCACTTCTCATCGCTAGTAACAATTCGATGCAGGAAACTCTTTCTTTCATGCCGCAAAAGCAAAATTTCGGAAGTGGCTCTTCGATTTTCCATCTGTCTCTCAGTTAACTCATGCGGTACCCATTTTCCTTTCTTTTGAATTTTTCCCATGGCATGTAAACGTTTGGAAATATCTTAGCGAGTCATGTTTAATGCCTCCGTAAGTTGATCTTGTGTTTGCATATCATCTTCATCCAATAACGCTTGCAGATCGGCGTCCTCAATTGTTTTTGGTCTTCCGGAGCGCTCCTTGTCTTTAGTGTCGAAATCGCCACTTCTGAAGCGTTTAAACCAATCTTCACAGGTAGTTTTCGATGGTGCATGTTCGCCGTAGGTCTCCTCAAGCAAACGACGTGCTTCAGCTGCATTTTTTTTCAAGTTAAAGCAGAAAAGCAAAGCTTCCCGCAAATGCTGTTTATTTGGCACAAAACTCGACATCTTTGTTAGAAAAAATATTTTTGCGTTGCGATATGTGTTGGTATTATGACTAGTTATTGTTTACAGATGTCCAAGCTATAAAAGAAACACAACTTTAGACATGTATGTTGACTACATGTGTCGTTAGCGCCATCCATGTGTGAAACCCGGAAACTTAGTTGCGCATCTAGTATTTCTCAATCAGAACAATTGGATGGCGAATGTGGCTAGCAAGACTGCAGTGAATCAACGTCATTACGCGATTCCGATTCTTTCCTTTGAAAAAATTACGCATTTGGACAAACTGTACTTGAACTCTTGCTGATCTTTGGTGAGCCGCTTGGACGCTGAGCTGTGCGCCGCACAGTTCGATCTACGTACCGACAATAAGATGAAGGAGATGCGCCAATTGGTGTTCGAGCTTGTCTCGGCTCTGTTGGAACTGCGAAAATTCTTGAAACGTGTGAACGTCGGCATTCAATTTGTGTTCGACGAAGACATCTTGAAGCGAGCGCTCTTCAACGAAAACGGCGAGGGAAGAGTGATACGGCAGTCCACTGCCGTGCCGACCGCACCACTCGAAGAAGAGCTGACCGATCGTAACGAATCGATTCGTTTTTGTGCACCTTGTGCCTAACTATGGTGTTTCGCACCGATCAAAATGCGCTGCCCGATCTGACCGACGGTATACATTTTTGCAGTATAAACGGGGTGCTGAACGATGAACACATGAGCTATTTGGAGTCGAGAGTGTTTCAAGGCACCGGGTATCGATCTCCTCGTTTCACCGCAGGCAGCAGCAGCTACGGTTACGGCGGCGCCGGCGATGCCAGCAACAACGCCAATGTTTCGTCCGTAAAATTGCGCGGTACACTGAGAGAAAAGACTGGTAACTATAACAAACTGCATTTAGTTACAGAAATTCATTGAATCCTTAGTAACTAATACTAAATATGATAATAATTACCAAATATTTAATAGATCGGGAGTATGACGTAATTGCATTCACAGTAACATCAATTAAATAATTTAGTAATAGTTACTTAATGTTAAATATTTAATATAAAATATATTACAGTTATGAACAGATATTTGATAATTGTTATGAAATCGTTATATTCCATATAATAAAAAATTCAGTAGGTACGAGTTCTATTTTGTTACCAGTATAAGTATGTTTTGTTGCAGCACAACGAAAAATTCATTCATTTGCAGCTATTACATCGTTTCAATATCTATTATTACAGATAGTTGGTTGAACCTATCAAAAATTTTGTAACTATTACAAAATCGCTTATTTTGCTCAACTATTCAATAAGTTTTATTTACCAAATATATTCTGGAAGCAAATAAATTTTACTTCTGTCAAATAAATAATTTATTTTACAGAACTAAATTAATTAATAAGTATTGCCATAGCTTTGGCCCGCTATATTTACGTCTTTCATTTAATAATAGTAACCAAATTTTGATAATATTTACTAAATTCTTCTCTCAGTGTATGTTCTTCGTGTCTCTGCAGGAGGATAATCGTCATGGATTGGTGTTCAAATCGTGGGTCGACATGGATCGCCAGTTGCAGAAAGCGATGACCGAGTACGTGCATAAAGAATTCGACGCGGCACAGGTGCTCAAAAATATACCGGTTTACGTGAACATTTCTATGTACAAGAACACCAAGCACTTTCGACTATTGTCCAAACGAGGAGCAGCTGCAGCAGGTACCGCCGCTACGTCCATGAACAATTTCACGACGGGCGGTTGTCTCGCCGGTGGCAGCAACAGCAACGGCAACGATGACGGTCTCTTGGCTCTGGTGCAGCTCGCTTTCATGAACTACGATTCTCAGAAAAACGCGATTATCGCCAAGGCATACGTGGTGAACACCGTGTCAGCTGACGATTTCTCCGTGTCAGCTAATTTCTCCTGATTGAATGAATTGTATAATGAATGACTATACACTGTTAAATATTGGAGGGTCAAATTTAAACCAATTTCTTAAGTTAAATAATGTTTAGTTATTTTTAACTATCATGTGTGTCAAAATTTACTATTTTAACACAAAACATGTGTTTAAAAAAACAACCACATCTAATCAACCCATTTAAAACAATATTAAGTCATTTTGTACTAAAACAAAGGTTACATTAACGTGCATAATAAAAATAAACTAAATTTTAGTCAAATTTAATACATTTCTTAAGTTAAATTATTTAACTCCATTAGTTAAGTTAACGACATATTTAGTAGGAGCAATGGCAACTTATAGGAATAGTTAAAAATAACTCAAATTGAGTATAATTTGACACTATGGATTTAACAGTGTGTATATACTACGCCGTCCGTGTCCCTTTTCCTTCGTCCTGGCTTCCTGATTTAACGTGGCATTCACATTTATGTAACGTCTATGTGTAAGAAAATTGAAATAACAACGTAGCACACACACTTGCATAACATCTGTGAAAGGATAATAGCGGTATTATGTTAACGCCTACTTGACGATCGTCTTTATTCTATAAATATACATGTGTATATAAATTCGATATCGTCGGTAAATGAAGATAACGTTTTCTACTTTTTGACGATCGCTCTACGTTATCGACGCTTATCAAGTTCATCGCTCGCTCCGGCATCCCCTTAATAAATATACATTACCTGAGATACAGATTGCATTTGTTCTCGTCTATTTAAGTTAGGCTAATTATCTTTCCATTACGGAAGCGTCGCTCAGAACAACGAATTGAAAATAACAAATCATTTGTTCCCATTGCGGGGTCATTCCTCCTGTTCCATATCAACAATTATTTGTTGCGGGTACCTTATTAAATTAACAAAAGCCTCAATGCAGTTGTGCACTAAACGCCGAATGCTTTAATTATTACGATTAATATCGAGCTACATATCCATCGATGGGTTAAATTCGCAGGAGAACAGTTGATTGATACTCATTTATTGATACCGCGTCCTTGACAGGGCAGGCTCAATGCCTGATTATCGATTGAAAGGGGATGATACTTAGCATAATTGATGAACCAATAATAACGGTTAATTAGCAGTCTGCGGGATTTCATCCCAGTTCAGCCGAGCGAATCATTTTACCTGGTTCAATATTGCGATTGCTTTTGACTTTCACGGGATTACCGTCCGTCTCCCACGGGAGAGTGGACGACCGGGTGGGGGAGGGGGTGGTTGGGATTATGCCGCTCCGGCGGCGTTCACTTTCGTTTTCCGGGGTGGTTGTACCTCCCGGGGACCGGCCGCGGCGACGGGGTTGAAACCCCCCGGGATTTCCATTGCGCAGTCGCGCTGACCGCTGTCCACTTCTCTTCGCGTTAGGATCCGCGGATTAGATGCCCCCACCCTCCGCGCTTAGACCCGGATCGCCTTCGTTCTACCTAAGTACTCACGAATACTCCCGCAAAGTAAAGCGACGCGAGCGCGCCACAATAAGGCAATAGAGCGGAGCGATAGCTTCCCTACTTCCGTCGCGTCGTGTCCGCAAGCAACCGGCAAAATAAGGGGCTCCAGGGTGGCGAACGGCGAACCGAGTGAGTATTGTCGTTGTCGACAAGAGATCGCACGACGTTTCGCACGACGAGGCCGACGAATTCGTCGCCGCCGTCACCGAATCCAGCCCGTTCGCTGCTCCGCGTCTCGTCCCTCACCTCCCTCGAGTCACCCCTCGCCCCCTGCGCGTGAGTCAGCCTCGTCACCCTCGTCAAAGATCTTGGTCGCGAAACAAACATGTCCGCTTCACGGCGACGCGTAAACGCCGTCGCGATGTCTTCCTGTCGCAGACCGCAAGCCGGCCACGACCGTGATCGAGCGCGGGCTGCGCAAAACGTTGTAACGCTGAAGAATGGGAGTTGTGTGAATTATTAAAGCTGGCGAGGGAGGTAATTCGATCGGCCGAGAACTCTATTTTGAGCTCTTTGTTAGACACATGGTTGCACGTCGCGTAATACCGCCGGTGAATCATTTATCGCGACCGTCATGTCGCGTATGCACTCTTTGCCCGCTGGCTGTGACTTGCGGAGAGCGAGCTTTGTGTTGTGCGATTTTTTACGAGCGCACCTCGCGACGCGACGCGCCTCGGACGTAGTTCCCGCACACCGGTTTCTCGGTAGACAGTCAACTGAACAATTACGCGCATAAACACACACACACACACACACACATAAGTTTGCGCGAATAGTCGATAGCAATGCGAAACGTCGTAAACTGTCGGCTTTTACGGGGGCTGATAAGATCTAGGCTTCTTCACGCAGGAAGTAGGGCAAAGTTGCCGTGTGTATGTACGTGGATGTGTGTGTTTGTGTGCGTTGCGCAGTTTCTTTCCTGCGTAGAATTCAACTCCGCTCTTTCTCACGAGCCGTCGCTTGCTCCTATACTCCTTAATCTATTCAACCCTTTGCCGGCCCGCCGCGTAAGAAAATTTTCCACCCTTGTCGAGAGGCAAATGCGCGTGACGGTGTTCCCCTCGTCTTGAAGGAGCGCGACGCAATGTTCCCCTCGTTCTTCAGAGTCACGCTCTAGAAATTAATGCACGGCTAGCGTTCGATCGTGACGAGGAAAAAGCATACTTTTGTGCCTTAGAAGAAGGTGTACACGTTTCTGCACCTTAAATTCATTTCGTCAGCTTGTAGAAATCTCAGGCCGGTATTTACGATCGAGATTTATATTTGAGAACGTCTTATTAACCCTTCGTTGACCATTGGAGTCCATAAAGAGACCACAGAAAGAAAATCGTCACAAATGCATGTCTGATCTAGCGATTTCCATAAAAATTGGTACTAGGGAGTTTTTGGGGTTGTTGAATCCGAACCCGTTGTTCAAATTGCAAAAATCAAAATGGCGGACCTAATATGGTTAACGTAAGGTATCCACATAAACCCAACAATGCAAAAATAGAATGATTTGAATTAGAATATATACTTATAGGTTTATGGGGTCGTTAAATACGAATCCATTGTCCAAATTAGAACGTTCAAAATGGCAGATCCACTATAGCCAAAGGTAAATTTGAAGGTATCCATATAGAGACAAAAATACAGAAATTGAACGCGTACGTTGATTATCGCAATTTTGAATTTTGTAATTTTGTCAACGTATTTAGACTTAGCGACCCCAAAAGCTCTCTAGTACCGATTTTCATGGAAATCACTAGATCTGTCACGGATTTATAACGGAGTTTTAAGCATATTCTTCTGAAGTCCCTAAAGTGGTCAACGGTGTAACAAAATGAAGTTTGGTCAATGAAGGGTTAAGCTTATCTGAGGATGAACTCAGGACGACACACTGGGAAAGAAACACTTGAAAATTTATTCACAGATATAAACTTTGCATCTCGCAAATGAAGGTATCTTTCCTCAGTGCACGAAAAAGAAGTTGGTTGGATGAACCAAATTTCCGTTCATATTTCAGTAGGGATTTGGTTAATTCAACCAAATTCCTTTTCCCGTGGATCTTATATACAAGATCCGACTACGAATACCGCCCTTAGAGCTCGTAGGTGCTTCAAAGCGACACGTGTCTCGTCCTTTGTTTCCATCGATTAAACGTCCGTGATGTTACTTCACGCTAAGGATTGTACGTAACTCTGCTTGATCATTTCTACTTCTGTGACGGAAAATCGAAGAGATCGTTTCTAATTTGCCTAGGTTCTCGGGCCGCGAGTGCCGCACGCTGTAAGTATTCCTTCCTCCGCCCCTCGCGTTTGAGAAAAAAGATGGGAGTCTAAAAAAATCCGTGACCTCGTGTATAGTCAGTCACGGCTCTATAGTACGGGTGCAACAGTTGAAGTCAAGGCGAAGAATGAAGCGTAGCCCGGTTTACGTTTCGCTAAATCGATACCGCGATTATGCTGGGGTTTGCGGCGCACGTAAATACCGCACGAACCGGAGGAGGCGAGAGAGAGAGAGAAAGAGAGGGAACCAGAGGCGAATTTCACCTTTTGTTCAGCCGTGGTCGCGCGATCGGCCGGTGGTCAGCGTGTCGCGGTAATTCAAGTAAACACTACCACCTCTTGTTTGATTGGCCTCCTCTCCCTTTCTCTCGACGAAGTCGCCGCCGCCGATTGTCGCTCTTTACTTGCTCGCGTAAGAGAGAAGGGTAGTGCGCGATTTATTATTTAACTAAGATAATCGATGGCTCATGGATATGTGTGCCGGCTTACGTCCCCGCGGCTCACGATAGTCGTCATTTTCGCGATGGTGTCGCGCCGCGAGGCAGGAAACGCTCGTCTGCCGCCGCGAATCGGCGGCTCGTGAAATCCCCTTAACGCACGTTGACTCGTCTCTGAGACGGAAGAGCGACAAAGAGTAACAGAAAGAGAGAGAGAGAGAAAAGTAAAAAAGACAGAGAAAGAGAGAGAGAGAGAGAAAAAAAGACCCAAGTAACGGCAGCAGCGGGAACTATGCTGGCGAGATTCAGGAACAGCTTCCGCTGCGGCATGCCCAAGTGCCCGACTCTTCGTATTCCAGGGATGGAGAAGCCGGAGTCCTCGGCGGGGGGCGAAAGCGCTGGGGTCGAGCTGGAGGACAGGGACCCCAACAGCCTGAATCAACATCTTCAGGTACGCCAAGTGTTGAGGAGATTCCGTCGTTTGAAGTCAAGTTCGAGGAAGTTAGTTATGCAATTCATACGGCAACTGTGACCGCGTCAACTGCACTTAGATGCACGTAACAAATTTCGCGAATAAACGGAACAAATATCCTCGTCGAAGCTATGTCAGTCAATCACGTGGGACAAACGACCCATCGCGGCAACTCGCACTTTATCATCGTGAGGACAATTTTTCTGCACTGATAATATCAGATTTCCCCTGTTAAGAGCGAATGGCATATATTTCTTTTTTTTAAGTCATGATGTTTCGCGCTACACGAAAAGGCTTTTTTTTCACATGGGATCGCGATCCTATAAGAAAAGCCAGACGCAAAAAAATTATTTAGTAATATCAGCTAAACCGCGGTAGCTGATTCAAACTTAGTCAAAAGGCTAATCGTTTAGCTGTTAAGAATTGGCTATGACAGCTAAGATGCATTCGCTATGAAATACAAATATATTAGGTGACATTAAAAATGCACATTATTTCAAGTAGCTGAGAAAATGGCAGTTATTCCTAAATTTCTTATCGTATGCATATATTAAAGAAGTCTGCCGTACAGCTACAATCATTTGTTACAGTCATTTATTTCTAGCAGCTAATATTTCTCGCTGTAGCGCCTAAGTTTAACAGCGAATAAATTTAGCTTTGGTATCGACATTAGCTGTCTCTATTTCAGTGACACATCTTATCTGCCACAGCTATTTTTTAGCTCTGGAAGCTAGTTCTTTTTTTGCGTGCAGTTGATAAACAAGATTATAAAATTTGCGCCTGTGACAACGGCGAGCGCGTTTCGTTAATCGCGATCCTTCTCTTCCGCATCGCATAATGCACCCTTCACCTCATCCCCCAGACTCAAAATCCATTTCGACCTATGCATTGCAAATTTCGTAGTCGTGCTGTCGTGCGTTTGAGATCACAAGTGGCCGTAGTTATGCTGTAGTTAGAAGAAAATTGACGGACTTTCTGAACGATTGCGAAGCTATCTATACTTTTTAAATCAAACGCCAAATGTTTATTTTCTTCGAAACGTTATTTACTTCATCACGAAGTACGTATGGTCAATTTTCTTCTAGAGTATTCACTGACAAGAGTATTCATTGACTGAGTTAAAAAAGCAACTAGTAAAAAATGGCACAACTAGTAGAAAATAAAACCGGATTTTCAGTTAATTTTAGGCATCCAAGATCTTTTTTGTCTTATATAGAAAGAAGACCGCGCGACGTCCCGTCGCCATCTAGTACACCCTCTTCCTTCTATGGTATGGAGCATTTCTTGATAAAAGAAACAAAAATCATAATTTTGTGGGTCAGATCATTCTTGCGTAACTATGGCCAATTGGCGGAAGCTGATGAAATTCACCATCGAATCCCAAAGCCCCAACACGACCTGCATCTTCATCATATAGTCCAATTATCGCTCCTGGCCAGTGGCGAACGTTCGATTTCACTTTTGCATTTTCCTTTGCTTGAAAGACCTCACTTCACGAGAACATTCTGAGACCTTTTGCTTTTAGAGTCTTCGACTATCGCGCACAATCGTCGCACAGTGGGGAAAAATAGAAATTTACTGTTCAAAAATCGCTAGAAACCACAATTTTATAGCAATCGGGATTAATTTTTTTTTTAATTAAACGTTAATCAATGTAGAAAAAACTGTCGAGCTCGATTTTTTTAAAAATTCTTCTAAATGTTGCAATATTAATAAGAATTTGTAAAAAATTATCAAGTTTTGTGGGCCACTCCAGTTGGAAAACTTTCCATCTTTTCGCTGCACAGTACAGTGTACTAAGGTTTTCAGCATCGCTGATCACGAATCTGGTAGAGAAATCAGAATTTGGCAGTTGACAACTGCTAATCTCCTGTCAACATAAACAAAATCATTATGTTTTAACACAGTATATATGGTGCAATAGGATATACAAAGTCGTTCAACATAAATGTAAAGTCAGTATTAAGATCTGGTATTTAACAGCTGTCTGTCAATCCCATAACCGATGTGAAAAAAAGTTTCTGTAGCACGAAATGTGTCACTATAAGACATATTAGGTTTAAGTTGCTGAATACAAACTTAATTCTTATTAATATTGCAACGTTTAGAAGAATTAAAAAAAAAATTTGGCTCAACAGTTTTTTCTACATTGATTAACGTTTAATTAAAAAAAAAAAATCATTCCGATTGCTATAAAATTGCGGTCTCTAGCGATTTTTGAACAGTGAATTTCTATTTGTCCCCACTGTGCGTCGGTTCTGCGAGTCGTAACCCACATTTCCTCGAAAAGAATCGAGGATCGATGGTCAGCGGGTACATAGCGAAATGGGTCTTTAGACTGGCTCGCGTGTTACTCACAGTTTTTTCCCCTGTCCTGTGCGTCTAACGCGACATTTCACCGACCCGAACGGGCGTCTCGATAATTCGCGCGCGCTGTGCGAATGTCGATCGACTGACACGAACGACGATAGCTCCAGCACGTGCGCATCATTATTGTTATCATTGTTGCGCGATGATGTATCGCGAGCGTCGTGCGAACACAGGTGATGTGGGACGACGTGATCGGCGAACCGGAGGGCATCCGCAGCCCCGAGTGCGCCTGGCGGCTCAGCGGCCATTGCTTCCGGCTCTCCAGGGGATGCTGCTACGTGCTCCTCTCCGTCCTCGTGGCGCCCCTGCTCGCCCTTTGTTTGGGTTTCACGTTCGCCTGTCTCGCGTTTCAGGTGAGTCGATATAGCCCCCTTCCTCCTCCCCTCATCCTAACGTCGCGCACCCTCGATCGATGTTAGGTGTCCCCCCTCCCCCCGCGGTCTATCGCGAGCCCACGCTCGTTTTCGAATGGAATAAAGCTACAATCTGAAAGACTTTTCGGAGCGTGAGGATTTGGTCGAATTGTTTGATGTCCATCATCGTGTCGTGAGAATTTGATATTTCAATGTAACACGAGCAGCAACTGTGTTTAATGTCTCGTGGACTTAATTATCCGTATTTTGTTTGGGGAGGACTGTATCCTGATGAGCAAGCGTGTTTTGATCTGGGGGACTTTGAATGTGTGATTTTAATTATGCCGTTTGAAATCAAAGTTTGGAAATAACTGTAACTGAATTTCCTTTTTCATTTCTTCTTCGTGGGCAAAGAGAAGCAAATTGTGTTAACGCGAAGTTCGTCGAATGAATCAACGCGTCTCGGTTGAAGAATTTTAGGTGCTGGCGATTCGGATATTTGACTCGAAGAACCAGAAATACTATTTCCTTCAACCAAAACGACCTGACGTGAACGTGGTTCCTTCGTTACAACCAAACTTCGTGTCAATATCAAACTTTCCAAACTCTCTTCTCCGCGTGATATTCGCATATTCGCTACTGAAGTGATCGGACAATAAATAGATAGATCGATAAATAAATCGGTATAATATAGGGGAAATGAGGGACAGTTTTAACATTTTATTTTTTGTAGCCTGTTTTTCAAAATTTTACGACAATAACAATTTATTTCTTAGAATATTCTGAAGTAATTTATATATATTTTAAATAATGTACCTTTCTTCATGAATAAGGAATTAATGAAATCGTTAGGTTAAATTTTGTCCCAATTCTCCCCTTTACCAGGGAGAGATGGGACAGATGGGAGACTTTGGACATAATAATAAAAATAATTATAATTTAATAATTAAAGCTTATTTATTATTCTTAACATAAACTTCCAAATTTACGATGATTACACTTTATCATGAATCATATTTAACTTAAATTGAGCTGAAATTAAAAATCCTTTATTAAAAGACTTAAGGGGATGCTGAAGCTGGAAACGTTACCGACAGAATACTGACATTTTTCTGCAAAGTTTATGTCGTATTGGTTACACAGAATTACAAATGCTTTTACGCAATGAAAGTACGTGGAAAAGTAAATAGGAACATTGCTCGATATGTAACGAAAACGAACAAACAAATTTTAATGTAAGATCTCAAGCTGTCAGTTAGAGTAATATTTGCCTAATCCAAAAGTTCCGCAGCTTGTATATACTGAAAGTGTGGATGCTCCAAACAGAAAAATTTTGAAGAACATTGTTCTACCTTCGCATCTGCATTTGAAAGCTTAAGAATATCGAAAAAGTTTGCCGAAAGATTTCTATATATGGTTAAGTTTTTCATTGAATAAAGTAAAACAAAGCAACACATATTCATGTAAGTTCTGTATATGCAAGAAATACGAAAAGGAAAGCGTGATTATGTTAGTGACGATTATCTCTACATTATCAACATTGTTCGAGTTCGCCATCGACTCCAGCATCCCCTTAACAATTAAGACTTAACATTTTGTAATCATAATATTAAAATTGGCATGATAGGTTACAATTGTGATAGAGATATTTCGATGTCAGAAATGTTCTAACTCTCTCTACTTGGGATGTCCCAACTTGGGATGTTGTTCTTTTTACATTTTTACAAACGATTGCAAACATATTTAGGTTAAAGATTGAGGTTATATTATGCTTACATTGCAAAACTTAAGAACAATTTATTAGAATGTATTGAATGAAATTCTTATAAAATGCAACTATCAAAAGAGATATCATAAATATTAAACAAGAAAAATAATTACTTTTGATAGTTAAAAGTAATTTTACTTACCTCTAATTAAATCTAAGCTCTTTATAAACTGGTTAACAAAATATTTATATACTTTACATAGAAGGGCATCAATTGCGTTTTGGATCGAAAGTATAGTACCGATTGTTAGGGAGAAATTAACATTGTCTTAACTCTCCTCCGGTACCAACCCTCCCCTCATTTCCCCAATTTGCACGAGTAAATGAACGAAAGCACGCATACTGAGGGAAAAATTATCTTAAAATCAACATATATTTCTTTGATGGGTGCCATTAACATATTTACTTAAATCTAAATTCTCTTTATTTAAACCAGATATTTTTTACTTAAATCAGGTAAACAATATTTGATTTAATCAAGAAAATTTAGATTTAAGTAAATATGTTAATGGCACCCATCAAAGAAATGTTTGTTGATTTTAAGGTAATTTCTCCCTCAGTGCAGATGGATAGATGGAAACGCACTTTTCCACCTCGTACACACCGCTCTGCGTTGACACAAATAGCCTGATTCGGCCGCCCTGATTGTTCTTTGCAGCATATATGGTGCGTCGCGCCGTGTCTGCGCGTGTGGAAGATCACTTGCGCAGCGATGCGAAATTTTCTGGCGGCGGTGACGCAAGCGATCATCCGGCCGGTGATGGAGGCGATTGGTTACCTTTGCCACAATATCCGCGTATTCAATCAGAAGCTACCGGAAGGTCCTTACCAGAAGGAGGACCTGCTGGTCGTGTAACAGTCGACCGCGGCGCGCTCGAATTTGCGACGGCCGATCGATCGCGACCTCTTCGTCCGCGTTTTGTCTCTCTTTCTCTCTCCCTCTTTTCGGGACGCAACGAACTCACGTATATACGCACGCACGTGATATCACGGTGTCTAAGGTAGAGCCGCGAGTTCGTGAGAGAGAATATCGATTGTAATCGCAGAGTAAGGACGTTGCGCGTTCGCTTTGTCTCGCGTCTTTTCGATGCGATATGCACGACATTGCCCGTGTCGTTGAGTCAGATTTATTCGCGATAGGAAACACCTCCGAGCTACGGACGAAGACGACCGCGATACGTCGCATCCGAACGCGATTACGGATATTAGTATTAAGAGGAAAAATGTGCATATAGGTACTGTATCTATATGAAGGGAACATGCACGGGGAAAAATAATTTGCTGGCCCAACAAATTTTCTGCTAGTCTAACAAAATCTTTTCGTTATTATATGGACAGCAAAAGGATTTGCTCATATGAATTACATCAGAGTACTAATCACTATTTGTTGGATATAATTTGCTGAATCTACAAAATTATTTTGCTATAAGAACCATGATGGATTTATATAAGCAGTTGCAGTTTTGCAACTGCACTTTTGCAACCGATAGCAGATAAATTTGCTAAAGATACGTTATTTTGCATCAATAGTAAATTAACATCAATAGTGATTTTGCATCAATAGTGATTCTTAGGACAAATACACTTAACAAATTTTTTTTCTATCCTGGCAACGAAACTACTTTTGCTCTGATAACGAATAATTTGTAAAATTAGTAACGTCAACTAAATTTTTTTGATGTCACTACAAATATGCAATAGCAACGACGATTTTGCTAAAAGAGCAAAATTATTTTTAATGGAAAGGCATCCTGCCCGGAAAGTGGGGAGGTTCCAGGTTCGAGTCCTGGCGGAGGCAGTTTTTTCGCAATATATATAATGAATCTATTTGAGTCATCGGTCTAATGGGTTTTGGGAATGTTATATATATATAAAATTGGGACTCAAGGATCGGTCTAAATATGAAAGGTAGATTCGCCGCGTATATTAATCGAAGAAAAATTTTGATACATGCGTTTGACATGCTGGACATAATTATCCTCCCACTATCGTATTAATATTATATAAAAAGTAATATTAGTATTTAATAGCGCTAAGACATCCGTGCTGTACTCCTTATTTGCCTCTTCAATTCTTACTGTAAAATTATTTTTCTCCGTGTGGAAGTGTCTGTCTCGCCGATTTGCATGACTCCTAGATTGGCTGCCAAGTGGCTAAAAATAAGAGATATATTGCGCTCCGTCGCAATTAACCAATTATTGAGAAGTTGTTTCAAATTCTAAACGTGCGAGAAGGCAAATATAATACGTGTCTCTTATTTTTAGCTATTCCAGCACACATATGCATCTGAAAATATAGTCTTATTCTTAACACGGAATGCCCTTACATAATATATTGATCGCAAGAAGATTACTTTGAAAACAAGAGGAAAATATTTTAATATTCAAAAAAGTAATTCTGATTGCAAGATGCTATTTCGCATATTTTAGATAAAAATTATTATTGAAAAATAAAGTCAATTATTAATCGGAAATCTATTGGGTATTATTCCAACTTTCCTCCTCTTGAATCAAGAAGAATGTTTATTTGATGCAGAATGCCCTCTTATGCGACAAGCAAGACTTGCCGTAGCTACACGAAGAAAAATAATTTGCTGGCCCAGCAAATTTTCTGCTGATCTAGCAAAATTTTTTCGTTATTATATGAACAGCAAAAAGATTTGCTAAGAGTACTATTTGCTGAATCTACTAATTATTTTGCTATAAGAACTATGATGGATTTATATAAGCAGTTGTAATTTTGTTCCGATAGCAAATAAATTTGCTAAGGATACATTATTTTGCATCAATAGCAAATTAACGTGATTCTTAGGACAAATATATTCAATAAATTTTTTTCTATCCTGGCAATTATTTCTGCTCTGATAACGAATAATTTGTAAAATTAGTTACGTCAACTAAATTTGTTTGATATCATTACGAATATGCAGTAGCAATGACGATTGCTAAAAGAGCAAATTATTTTTCTCCGTGTAAAAGATGAGATTCTTCGAACTTTAATGATATTGTGCTTGGAATATTTTTCTCTTGCTTCAAGAAGAAACCTCTTGAGACCAGTAGGATCCCGCCAAGGATGAGATTATATTTTTTTGGGTGATCGAAACATTCGAGGGACACCGCAAGTTCTCCCTTGGCAACGTAAGATAATTTATATTTCTTATTTGAATACACATCTCGAGATGTTAATTGTCCATAGGTGTACGCTGATAATACGTGCATCTCGCACGCGCATAACCGGCGGGAAGGTATATTTTTGTAGTCTCTAAGTTACGTAACTCTCGGCGCGGGCCTTAATTCGCGATAACGGCGCCGAGAAATTCCGTTGAATTGTCCGCGATACGTTCACGCACGAAGTCGCTTGTCTGAGTGTTAGTAAGTGTAAAGGTCTAATGTGCAAGGCCTCTCGGTAGAAGTATAATAATAATTTTAACTCTTGCGCATGTCTCGGAGTAGTTGCGGATCCGGCGAGTTAAGGAGCGCGCGTTAGTCAATATTTCACGCGAGCCGGGCTTTTTGGTTGTCCTCTCTCTCTCGCCTTCAGGAGACCAGCCCGATTGCTTGGCCGGCTCGTTTCAGTTCACTTTAGACGATCTGTGTGTAATTCCGCGCGGCGGGACTCAGGGGACTCCACGTGCCGGGAACTCCACATGCCGGGGAAACTTTCGAAGAATCGAAACTACATTTATAAATACGCGCGTATACGTAAATCCATAAGTTTCCGAACTAGTGTCCGCATTACGCGATGCACGTGGAAGTACACGTAGAATTCCGTCGCGGGTCACACGGTATTATTCCAAGCTTTACAGACGAGAGGGACGAATAAGTACGAGGGCGAGGAGTTAGAATTGAACGGAAAAGTAGTGCGGAATCCGTCCAGAAAGATTGACCTGAAATTCGAACGATTCAATGAAGTTTGTAACACTAGTGAGAGATCTATGTGCATCACGGAGAAAGTCGCGTGAGAAACATTAGACTGAGACAAAAAAGACGTGCGTACTACACGCGTAGAATTAATATTTAAGCGGTGCGTATATCGAGGCGATGTAAAGTAACGGAGTATTTTCAATACATCTACGTTTAAGATGTCAAGTCTTTATTATTACCATTCTAATTTTTTATGGAATTTTTCGATAATCTCTCTAATTTCAAAATCTTCGATCTCAAGTGTCGTAGGTAAGGCGATTCATGAGTAAATTTTCACGATAAAAGAAATCAAATACATAAGAATTGTACATAGGTATGTTCTGCGAAACTTTTACAAATAAAACGTAAAACTTAAACGACAATGTGTGTCTACAATTTTTTAGTATACAAAATTTGAGGTCACAGACTCAAATGAAAATAATCATTATCTAGAATAAAAACCTTTTTATACATTGAAAAAAAGAAAATTTACTTCTAAGATAAAAGCTTGTGTTTCACAAAAATAGACTTTATTTCATAAAAATAAACTTTATATTCTACAAGTAAATTTTCAAATATTTTCTTCTCAATATACAATTATATGTAATAAAAAGAGATTTAATGCTTTATAGGAACGTAATTTTTTAAATAAAGAGAATTTTTTGTAAACTTAACTTCAAAAATTAAATAATCAAATCAATGGTAAACTTACATTCTTTGGAAAATTTCAAGCACACTGAGGATAAAATATCTAAAAATTTATTTGTGAGATATAAAGTTTGTAAATTTTATTTCACAGAAATAAGCTTTATAAGAACGTAATTTTTTAAGTAAAAAGGTGGAAGAGAGTTTTTTGTAAACTTAACTTCAAGAATCAAATAGTCAAATCGATAATAAAATTACATTCTTTGGAAAATTTCAGACACACTGAGGATAAAATACCTGAAAATTTATTTGTAAGATATAAAGTTTGTTCGGAGAAATAAATTTTATTTCGCAGAAATAAATTTTATTTCACAGAAATAAGCTTTATACAAATGAACTTTCAAGCATTCTTTTCTTAGTGAAGTCTTCAACGTACTTTTAATTCGACACTCAAATAAATAGATGCCTGACGCTAGAAATCGGAAAATTCCAACTGTTGCTTCCACAATCGGAAAATTGCAGGCTATCTCCTCTTCTTGTTAAAACAAGGTATGTTCAAATTTGCCTCCGCGTTTCCAACGAGTCAATAAAAGGCTGACTCAGTCGGTCAGGCTGCGTCACGACAGCATTTTCAGCAACAGCTGATGCGTTGTTGGTGCAGAATCGAGGAACGCTCGCCGTAGAGGCGTCTTATAATATGCAAAAAAATATTTACTCGTAGAACGTTTATCAGATCCCGGTCGCTTAGTGTAAATGTAACTTCAGTCGCGGCTGATAAGTGGGTCCTCGGTGGGAAATCAACAAGTCAGTGTTCTATCAGTCGTTGATGAAAATGGCGTGTCACGTGCAGAGGAAGTTGCTTTTGAGAGCGGCCAGTTTGTGTCGGGTCAATCCAGCGAGACGTATCCTTTGGAAATCGACCGGGAACAGAAAGAGAAAGAGAGAGTGAGACTCCGTCGAATCGTGCGAGGGACTAGATTACAATTCGTAATATTATCCTTAACGATCAAACCTTATCAGGAATCTGCGTCTCCGCGGCTCTTCAAGACAAACGTAAGTCGTTTCTCACTCTTTCTCTTTTATTTATTTCGGATTTCCTCTCTATTTGTGAACGTTAGTCAGATAAGGCGTAGATTGTTGTAACTCGATTCAGAGATGATCTACACTGATGATCTATATTTATGAGCCATACGGCATGGTTCTGAAACGTAGATGGCAGCACAATGCAGGCAGTGTATCGACTCGGTCGATAGCTCGTTATTTACAGCACAGCCGGCTGTCATTTCGCCGCGTCATTATTGATAAATGATAAAACGTAATAGATATATTATCGAGAAACGCGATAATTCTAAATCCGTCAAGTACATCTCCTCTGTACAGTAGTTTTCTCATGAGAAGATTATTACAAGCATATATTTTCTTGATAGAAGGGAGAATTTTCGGAAATAAGTTGCGTTAAATCATTTTTTTAATAAGATAAACATAAGATAAAATAAAACAAAACATTGTTTGGTAAAAAGCAGATCTATCAAAGAGAAAAGCGTAGACTTTTTTTATTATAACATATTTTATTGTTACGATACATTTTATTGGAATATACCTTGTCAAATTTAATCGAGACTGCAGATTTAGATTTCTTTTTTCCTTTTTTTTAATTTATACGAATTGCGATTTAGCCACCTTCAGCTGGGAAGATCCGTTCGACCTGGAGTCGCAGCTGACGCAGGACGAAATCCTAATCAGGGATCAGTTCCGTTCGTACTGTCAGGAGCGACTCCTGCCGCGCGTGATCGAAGCGAATCGCAATGAGCACTTCGACAAAGGAATCATGCGGGAGTTGGGTCAGCTCGGAGTCCTAGGCTGCTCCATAAAGGGTTATGGCGCCGTTGAGGCGTCCTCGGTGGCGTACGGCTTGCTTGCCAAGGAAATCGAGAGCGTCGACAGCGGCTATCGATCCGCGTTTTCGGTGCAGTCCTCCCTCTGCATGGGCGCGATTTACACGTTCGGCAACGAAGCTCAGAAAGAGCGATACCTGCCCAAAATGAGTATGTAAAAACTGTCTAGACTCGTGTTTTTGTTCTAAAATCGCAAAAAGATCATTGGGTGAATTTCTCGTGAAGAAATATACTTAATTCTTAACTTTGAGAAAAGGAAAAAGAGAACGATAAGCCTCTAAATATAACGATTTTCTATGTTTCAAGATGGATCACGTTATATTTGCTCGTTAAAATTTTGATTCATCTCTTTATTGACTATCTTTTTGTTTGGTGGCAACACAAAAATTGACATGTGGAAATTAACTGTGTGACGAAATGAGCAAGATCGAGTAAATTCTTTCCGCGTCGGAATTGCACGGGCGATAATTTCTCGAGTGTATTGCAGTGTCCGGGGAAATGATCGGTTGCTTCGGCTTGACGGAGCCCAATCACGGTAGTGATCCAGGAGCTATGCAGACAAGAGCCGTTTACGATTCCGAAAAGAAGGTTTACAAGCTGAGCGGTAATAAAACATGGTTAGTTCGAGGTGGTGACTCTTTGTGGCTTCTGGGAATATCTCCTCGCGAATCGAACGCGAAAAATCAGTCTGATCTCGTTTAGGATCACAAACTCGCCCGTTTCCGACGTGCTGATAGTATGGGCGAAATGCGACGACGGTCAGATTCGCGGCTTCATCATCGACAGGAAGGACGCCAAGGATCGACTGTCCACCCCAAAGATCCAAGGCAAGTTCTCCCTACGAGCGTCTGTCACCGGAATGATCCTGATGGACAACGTGATCGTACCCGAGGAGAACTTGCTGAACATTCAGGGACTGAAAGTAAGCCGCGCGTTTCCCAACGAGCTGATCCATTTATCCATTAATCGTTAATCGA